ATTGGCTGAGTGTGTCAGGTGGTGTGTTTGTGTGTTGTGTGTCTGACAGGAAATTCATAACTCCTATCCCCGTGGACCGAGACGTTCAAGTTTGGTAAGAGTACAGGCAGTAGTATGGCAACAATTATGGTTGGTGGCAGGAGCAGACTCCGCCTACGATGGGCGGAGTTTGGACAAAAATTCACATTTGCTGTTCCCGTGCACCTAGAGCGCTCAGCTTTGGTAGGATTATAGGCGGCTGGATGGGAACCCTTATGTTAGGGGGCAGGACCGGACTCTTCCCATAATGGGCGGGGTTTCAGCGAGGATTCATAACTGCTGTCACCGTGCATCTAGCGTGTTCAAATTCATTATGGCTTTAGACGACAGTGTTGGTAGAGTGGGAACACTAATGGTAGATGACAATTCTCGACTCTGGGCGGAGCGTCCTTGAAAATTGGCAGTTTGGACCATGGGCACTTAAATTTGCTGCGAATAAAAACGGCAGTATGGGAATGCTGATGGGAGGTGGCATGATTGACAGAAGGCGGGACGCACGCAAATTGCTAATTTTGACCTGGAGCGTTCAAATTTGGAACGAATGCGAGCGGCAGATTTAAGACACCTATGGTAAGTACTGAAGGGTAATTGAAGTAAATCCAGCCCGCGGAGGCGTAGGAGGGGGGGGGGGGGGGGGGGGGGGGGGGGGGATGTATGGGGCGTGATCAAATGACCGTACTTTGAAAGAAAACACGCGGCTTTGTCATAGCCTGTAACGAAACTTCTTGTGTGTCCAAAATTGTTTGTCTAGTCTCTGTTCCTGATTTTATAAAAAAGATATTGCGGTGATGTGCAGGGGAGTGGGCATCATCAGCCACGAAACCTGATGAACTTTCATATTTGGTTGTTAAGCGATGTATCCATATATAGGTTCCTATTGAATCTTAGTTTCTAAATAGCGAAGTGCCAAGCAGACGGAAACGTGCTATTGTCATTCCGCTGCCTAAGAAAGAACTACAGTCAGACTATAGGCCTATAGGGTTGAAAGTGTGAAACTTTTTTTTCGAGAAAATCCCAAAATTTTCTAGTCGGAGACTTTTCTAGATGAATCTGCTAATTTCAGTTGAGATATTTCATTTAAGCACAGCGGATCGCACTTTTTGGCATCGACTACCACGGCAATGCTATCAAAATAGATACATGTCGGTAAGTTTTGCAGTAATTCGGTTAAGCGTATTGATGATTTGTCCTTTGTCAAAACCAACGAGTTACGTGGTGTCCCAGCTAGGGGTGTCACAATTCACTTGCCTCTAATATGAGATCAAATTCCTTAGTTCGCGCATCTGAAAACCCAAATAGTTCATTCTTCTTTTGATGAGAACTAATCATTATGAGGTCAATTCAAAAATGAAAAACGAATCTCTCCGCCATGTAAAAAGAAGTCGTTGCGCAGATCTATCCCAGAAATCAAGTATTGGTCTAGATAATTCCGAGTAGATATTCAGTCCACCTTGCATGAAGCAAAAAAATGGAATCTCGGTGTTTATTGTGAATCCAAGTTTTCGGAGAGAAGTTCATGAGAGCCTATAGTGACCACTATGGAATTTTCCTTGAAGCAAGCCAAAGCCTAGTTGGCTTCACAATAAACGCCGACTCTGACGTCCTCATAATTGGAGTAAGCAGTATATAGTTATGAGAAGCGGAAGCTTCACCGGATGCCCGCCTCTTTCGATCAAGCACGTCGTGATCGTCCCACGTCTGATCTTCCTGTCGAAGAGCGGCGTTATTCCGCGTGTCCCACCCTACTTCCATCGCGACGTTTAGCCCACTGCGAAGTGAGCGGGTGACGTAGTTCCGACGGACACGCCGCAATCTCGAGATGATAGTACAATACTGCCAAGTGTCAGTGAATATTTGCACTAATCCGAGTGATCCTCCCTTTGAGCTGAAAGGACACATCTCCATGTCCCACTAGTAACTACGACGTCCGTCAAGAATCGCGGGCTGACGCGTGCGTGTGACGGCTGCGGCGTGACCTAGTTCCGACGGACGCGCGCAACGAAGGGATGGGCAGGCACATAATTGGACGAAGTTCTATATGTTTATCGTCTTTATATATTACTCAGTGAACTTGATAATTGCTGCTTACAGCTGATTACCGGGATTGGCAACCCAATCGTGCAGAAAGTAATGGACTATGCTGAGATGTTCAACAAGTCGGCAAATGCGTGCGGAATGTGTAATGTTCAGGTCTCCTGCTCTCCAAGATGCGATTATGCACCAGGGTTTGTCTTACAGCAGTTGCGATAGTTCTGGCAGATTTTTCTGCGATCTCTGTCACATCTGTGCAGTTCGTTCACACTTCCGAATATCTCTGGTAGTAGTTGAAGGAGGGCGGCGGAGTTCACTCCTGATTCCCCACGAACTCTTGCAGCAAACCTTGATAGCAGACTTGCGACATCAAACTGCAATAACGTAGTCAATCATTGAAACCGCGCTGCTGACATTCAAACGCTACCAATAGTATATTGCTAAATAGAGGGATTTTAGCGTCCCGTGGGTTTGTGGTACAGTAACCCCGTGGAACCCCACCACCCACTCTCGTGGGCGTCACCCGGGGTACCGTTCTGTTGCTTCGTATATGTGACGGGTGTTTGGAGGCGCTTGAGTGTGTCTTCGGGTTACTATTTAACACGTTCACGGGACGATAAAATCCGTCTCGTCTGGTCCTACATATCCAGTTTCTTGAAATGTGCCCTTATGATTGGCGCTAGACTCGTTTTAATCACCACGAATTTTGCCGCGTACCTCCAGAATAAGGTGGATGTACCCACACCCCGAACAACTGCAACGAAGGATCGCGAGCTGACACGCCGCGTGCGACGGCTGCGACATGACCTACTTTCGACGGACGCGCGAAACGAAGCGCACCTCAGTAGCCCTTGCCATCACTCTCTTTCGAAGGCACAGTTCGCGATAAAAATGGCTTCTGACAAATGCACCCTGATGAATCGGTGGCATTCCAGTATACCATGTGTAACGCTGTCAGATTGGTAAACTGCCCAGATTAGACGTTATAAGGGCTAGTAGATTGTGTCGTCTGAGTGCCACACCCATAGCAGACAAGTTTTAACGGCATTGTAGAGGCCGCACCATCTCAAGGGACTCCCATGTAGGAACTCCTAACAGTTTTTCATGAGTCATAGCGACAGTGAAGGCAGTTTTGGACAGTTTTTGCTTGATATAAACAGCTCTTGCGCAATTGCAATAACAGAAACATCGGTCGAATATCCCTTCCATGTCAATCCCGTCATGGTGATCTCGTACAACCTCGTACTATTTTCATTGTTCTTGGAAAGCCTTATTCCCTTTCACTCACTCATTCACTTTACCTGCCATAAATAGTGGATGGTTCCTTAATGTCTGGCATCCTGGACGTTCACCCACAGCTAACTATGGAGTTCTTTTGGCAGACTGCCAATTTTGGGAGAGCCGCTTTGATGGAGCTAAACACGTTCGTCGCACTTCGAGTATTTAGGACAGGTAGGATTGGAATCTTACAAATGGATGCATCCTTCTCCAGTCGGTATGCTTTTTTATGAGATTTGTTTAAAAATGTTATAAATGCATACATATCTGCTTAGCCTGTTCATTTATATAATCAATTCATCAGTTCGTTTCCTCTTACCTCTGTTCTGTATATGAGCAGCAACGCTTAAAGAAGTTCGTTTTCAGAGGTAATTCTTTTGGAGTTGTGGATCGAATTTGCGATCTGCCCACTGAAAAGCAGGCTTGTGCTATGACTTCACGAGCTTACGACGAGGAATCCAGTCTCTGTAAAGTCTGGCCACCTAGGTGAGTACATTCAAAGGGAGGTAAACAAAACTGCAAAATGCAAATACATCAGAACAAATACGGCCTGGCACTACCTCTGTAGCAGTGGTTTTAACTTGAGAATAATCTATTATTTGGAAATTATAAAGCCCCCCGCTTCCAGAGTCCAACGACGTGCATTGAAACGCAGCGCTGCCCAACACAAATTGACAGCACTGGACGTCATCGAGTGACGGCGCGGAGCGGAAGGCATCATGAAGCCTCTTCCGCCTCTTGTGTGCGCTACAGAGCGGCTTTGGTTTTGTGCATCTTAAAGATCTCAGATCAGAAGTGAGAAATATCATCGATGTCTTTCGCTCTGTAGCACTCGTCGACATTGTCTCTTGACAACTAAATGACGGCGGACGTCTTTTGATGACGTTCGCGCCGCCGTTGATGGTTTTGTTCACCGCTTGGAAAAGCGCAAAGGCAGCCTTGAAATCGTCAACAGGCTTCCGCCGAGCGACCAATGTTGTCAGCAGGCGATGACCAGCGCTGTCAGTGTGTGTCTGGCAACGCTGTTTTCAACGCAAGTCTTTGAACTTTGAAAGCGCACTCTGACTGTTATCGCTAGAGTGCCATTCTTTCAAATGTATCACCTGTATCACCTGTCGTCCCGCTGATCATCGACTTCCTCTAGCGGGCGCCAGTAGCGTTTCCATTCGTTCCTGTCACGAGCCAGAGTGGTCCAGTGAATCGTCCTCGCTTCTGGGACACGAGGTTCAACGTTCCTTTCGTTCAGAGCTTTCGTGAAGAAGTCTGACCATCTCGTTGGCGACCTTCCTGGAGTTCGTTTGATGTCCCGAGGGATCCAGTCAGTAACCGCCCTGGTCCAACGGTCACCACTATATCGCATTACGTGGCCGGCCCACCTGATCTTCGATTTCTTGGCGTAATCAACGGCATCCCTGATCTTCGTTCGGTGACGGGGCTCGAAACTCCGGATTCCCTTCTGCACTTGCGTGTATAGGGAAATTCCGAGCATCGTCCTTTCCAAAGCGCGTTGAGTAACGCTGACAGCATGCTCATCCTGCTTTCGTAGAGTCCAGGTCTCCGAGGCGTACGTTAAAGCAGGAAGGTCAGCAATGTCGAAAAGGTGAGCGCGGAGCCGGATGTTCTTTGTCTTCTTCACTACTCCCTCGATATTCTTAAATGCTCCCCACGCGGCGCGTTTCCTTCTGCACTTGCGTGTATAGGGAAATTCCGAGCATCGTCCTTTCCAAAGCGCGTTGAGTAACGCTGACAGCATGCTCATCCTGCTTTCGTAGAGTCCAGGTCTCCGAGGCGTACGTTAAAGCAGGAAGGTCAGCAATGTCGAAAAGGTGAGCGCGGAGCCGGATGTTCTTTGTCTTCTTCACTACTCCCTCGATATTCTTAAATGCTCCCCACGCGGCGCGTTTCCTTCTGCACAGCTCCGGAGTTAGGTCGTTCACAATGTTGACTTCTCGACCTAGATAATCATAGCTAGAGCATTCGGAGATATTCGTTCCGTTTAACGTGAAAGGAGCATCAGGTACCAGTTCGTTTTTCATGAACATCGTCTTCGTTAGGTTTCGCCTCAAGCCGATTTTTCCCCAAGCACTATCAAACTCGGCCAGCATTCGTTCCGCCTGCTCGATGTTCGGTGTTATAAGCACGATGTCGTCTGAAAGCGGAAGTGATCTTTCGAATATAGTCTCCGCAAAACATTAGCGGACTGTAGGTGCTCTTGTGATCGGGCAGCTTTGCGACTGCACACTTATTCCCTATTTGTTGCAGGCTTTACCTGTCTCTTGGGGAAATCATTAGTGATAGCGGGTCTCTAGTACTATTTTTCAACGTAATGTAAACAAAATACGTACTAAACTTTGACACGGATGACGCGCAAATTCGTTAAGCGTACCAAAATACGTACTATTTGCAGGTATACAACGGCTGTCGATTTTCTTGGAGCATTGGTTCCTCAGAACATTCGAGATCAAGTATGGTCCCTTAAGCCGTTGAACTGTATAAGGTAAAATTCTGAAAAGAAAAGAAATTATGGTGTAGAGCAAGATTTGAAGATTTTCTCAAAAGGAATCAGATTTCCATACTTGTTTTTGGGTTTTCAGCGAGTACGAGTAAGTCCTGTGAGAAAGCAATTGGAATACATCACATGCATGAGATTGTAAACGAAAAAAATAGATGGTCTACGACTCCAATTTCCGCTTCTAATCGATTTTGCCAATCGCAGCTGCCTGGAACAGACTGTCCACTAAAAGGTCATGACAGAATAATTGAAGTCTTTCATCAATGACAGGAATGTCCATCAGTAGAATTGACTGGAAAAACGCTTCGGTCGATTGTCAGCTGGAAATTCTGCTAGGAGCTTTGAAGGCCTGAAGTATTTGATCGGATGGTGAATATCATAGTGGCGTCTATTGATCTTCACTTATGAGCCGATATATCAATCAGTATATTCGGACCTTGTGTTTAAGTAAACCAGTAAAATTCTACGTGAGATGAAGGGTGACATCTTTCGCGTAAAAGACAATCCTGTCTTTGAGATGCGCCCCACATTCGACTTGTTTTTTCAATCGTAGCAGCGTACGAAGGCGTATGTAATCTATGTAATGACTTGCGTGGCCATACGATCTACAAGTCAGTGGTTTTCTCCTCCCAAACGACTGGTAGTAATTAACCTATCCCGAGTAGATGGAAGGCCTGGTTGCCCTGTGCGCGTATCGATACCGGAATCCGTTTCCATACCGTGCGTATGCAATGGCACGCTGCTTGCCATGACACTCCTATTTTCTGTAAATTCAAAACATTAATTGATTATATTTTGTTCTCATCAGCGTCCAAAGAAATCTTCCAACTTCGGTGAACATATAATTGGGGGGTGCCAGCGCCTTTCCGTCTCGTTGCTCTGCGTCTCTGACCCAGGCGGCAGAGTACCCAGAGACCGTACTGGAGCGAGGATATGGCCTCTTAATAGTGATAGGGAATCTATTTTTTAACAAGGGGAGGAGCGCCGGGGTGGGTGAGAAGTAAACGTAGTGCAAGGACAAGAGAAAGTTGTGATAAAGTAGAAAAGAGTGGAATGGGTTCGACTTGAGGAGTGTGACTCCGCTAAGTAGATTGCGCACCGTGGACGCACCGCACGCGGCGAGTAAAGTTGTTACTGAATAGCTGTTCTGAACCATTTCAACTTTTTGCACAACGTTTACTTTTCACCCACCCCGGAGCCCCTCCCCTTGTTAAAGAATACACTCCCTATCACTACTAAGAGGCCATATCCGTCTCCAGTGCGGTCTCTGGGTACTCTGCCGCCTGGGTCAGAGACGCAGAGCAACTAGACGGAAGGGCGCTGGCACCCCCAACTACATTTTCACCCCAACTTCTTCTTTTTAGTATCGAGAAAAAGTGCTACTGCTGTTGTGCCCCGTACCTACCAAATCCTTGCGATGCACAATGTACGCTCAGACCGTGCAGTCGTCGTAACTCGTTTTCGTCTACTCAGGTCAAAATTCTTCGTCGTAAATGGCTGGCTATGTTAGAAGGTGAAGATAGCTCGTAACTTATCGTCCATCGCAATCGATCCAATTTACACATATATTCCTGTGCATGTTTACTGCCTTGAAATACTCTTACCGTATCGATTCTACTTCATACACAGTAGCGCTCAAAAGTATTCGGCGGAATGCTTCTTCGGTTGTAGTTTTCAGTCGTAAATCCTTTCCTACTAGATCTAATCATGCGAAATTTCGATATGTGTAGCATGGGTGTAGTGTGAATATTTACCAATATTAACCTGCAATCTGATCATGTTCCAGATATCCCAAAGAGCTTAAACAAAAAATCAACTGGAAATACAAATGATAGCCCTTCTGGGATTTCTTTCCTATTTGTTATGTCCAAAGTGTACGAGCGCTAATGCCGAACCCAGAAGAGAAAAAAAAAACGTACATAGGGTCGAATAACTGCAGACGTCACAAACTTGCTTTCAGCATAGTCTAAAACGCCTTCCTCTTAGTTATGTGGACACTGCTGCTTTGCAGTCAAATAGTGTTGGATAATGTCAAATATGCTTCAGTTGAACATATCAAATTTTCATGCGATTTGCTCCACTGAGAAAAAAGTTACGGCAATTTAAAGTTGGTCGAATACTTTTGAGCGCTACTGTATCTCTTATCTACTACCGGTTACATTTTTTTGTCTGACTGTGAAGGCTTAGAATTATTACACTTCATCGACATTCCAGAAACCCATCGATCATTTCGATATCTTTCAATTTCAAACTTTTTCTTGTTTTCTTCCTCTACAGTGATTATATTCTTATAATTCAGCCCCCATCATATCAGACTTTGTGGTTAGACATTGTCTTGATTTTGTGTAATAAAAATATTATAAATTCGGTAAGCTTCCACGCTGAAAAAAAAAGTTGCCATCCAATTTATGCAACTAGTTTCCATTTGCAACTAATTGGAAGAGCAAATATGCGCCTATTAGGTGCGCGTTTGCGAAGCATCCCGCATGCCTCTGCTTTGCACAGTTAGTTTTGATATGCACTTTGGAAGTCCGAAAGGGTTTGCCCGAAGAACAACCACAACTAGCCTACACCTCTCGGCCAATATCTGAGAAATTACATCCACAGATAGCTCATCCTCCCCTCACCACCTGTCCTTGCCCACCTCAGTCCCTGAAAATCATCAGCAATAAGGCTGATTTCTATGTGATGTATGTTCCTTTGAAAATAACATAATTTACTTGAAATTTATACTGGTACACCCAAAAAATCTGTGCAGGAACACAGTTGACAGTACTAACCTCTAGGACAGTGAAGAAGTTACAAAAGATGAGAAATGGAAGAAATTAGCCAAAGCAGAGCTGTTCCCTAGGTAAAGACGACACCGTATCACAACAGAGGAAAACACTAGCTGAAGCATTGGTCGCTTAGGATCACAACTTATCACAATAGACCGAAATACTGCCAAAACAATGAATTGTTATGTACATATCGATATGAAATATGTAGAAGAATTATGGCAAGAAGTCTAGTACTATGACCGGTTATACCATTACTGTAGCCGCTAATCGCGGACTGAAGCAACGACGAATTTAAATACTACAGTCTGAAATCGCTTGCTATTCCTACGACTGTCACTGCAAATGACCATTCATCTGAAACCTAGGTTGGCAAGATTTCATGCATGTCGGCATGTCCTACTTTGTCAACCACAATTTGAGATCAACCATTTCATTCTCTCTTTGAATATGTCGGGGTTGAGGTGGAGCTCGATTGAAACTGCTTCGTCGTTCTAATGCTTCGTCGTCATTTCGTCGTGACGGAGCGGAGTTACCTGCTATTTCGTTATTTAATCAGAAATTCAACAACACTAGTGGGACAATGGAGAGGCGTTTCAGCTGCAAAGGAAGGATGAAGTAAAACAAACCTACACCATTGACGGTACTTGCAGTGAGGTTGCCGCTAATCTCCATCAGTTTTGCGCACAAGCCAGCGAACCCATCTCGATCATAGCTCCGTAACTGCTCTACACATGATTCTGTAAAGGCCGTGACAAAATAAGGAATCTGGAAGTATCAAGGAAATCAAAGGTGAAAGTGGAGAAATCGAAAAAGAATAGAATAATTCAGAAATTATTCACAAAATTCGACTTTGGAATAAGAATAGAAGAGACAGGGAGGTGAGGCCAATAGGATTCCAGGAATATGACAAAGAACAAAAAAAATCGGGGTTTAGAATTTAGCAGAATCATCTTTTTGAGAGGCATCATGTCAACGGGATAAAAGAAAAAATAGGTGATGACGGTCGTAGTCAATAAAGTTCCAGACAATTAAAACACATCAATACCAAGCGGAAGCTGCCATTCACTCCTGAAACAGAGCCACCACAATATTTAAATCATTTCAGTCTTCCAAGTTAGTAATCAAACCACAAGAGTATGACTCATAGTGTAGAAAGAAAAAGGGAAATAGGCGAGTTAAAGAGGAGGTTCACTGAATGAGAGAGTTAAACAAAAAAAAAACGGTATTGGACGGGTGAAGAAGTCGGGAAATGAAACATGACAATGGAACCAAAAGAAAAATTGAGGCTGTAAAGATAACCCGACACCCATTCTCAACAGTTATAAAAGTCTGACGAGGCATTCTGTAGATCAAAAAAAAAAAAAGCTCTCAAAGCAAACGAAAAAACACGCAAACACAAAAACATGTTAATGGACCGAGCAGACGCACCAATATTCCTAGCGGCCTCTAAGCAAACAACGTCCCTTTCGTTGAGACGAATTTGGAGACATGCCACTTGTTCCTCCATAAGCCGAAGTTCCTACAAATCATATTATCACTGAGGCTATTTGAAACTTTGAAGTTCTCAAATACCTTTTCCCACGAGGGCGATTTAGCGGCACTTTGCGTCATTCTCCTCGGGGTTAGTGGAGGGGAAGCGGCTAGTAACGCTAAAGCGATTGAAAAGCGAAGCAGACAATTAAAATGTAATTGAAAGAATAACAGGAGAAGGAATATTGACGTACATGGCCTTTCCAGCATAGAGTTTTTCACTTTTGACAACATCGTTGAGGTGATGTTACGGAGGCCACCAGAGATCTCATCCTGTCTCACATCACCCATGTCGTTCACCATCATAACCCCTTGACGAGCGCGGTTAGGATGATCAGCACCCGTCACTGTCAAATGTGAGAAATTCCCCAACGAGTTAACAGTGGTTGGTTTCGGATATTTCTGAACATAATTAAGGGATTGAGTTGTTCAAATTGGATACAAAGACGGCAAAGAGTTTCAGGAAAATTCGAAATTACGAAAAAAAAAACTACTTTTCACCACTACTCATCTTCAAATAATCAAATAGCCTTACAACTCCTCCGTTATACACTTACCAAAGGCGAAATAAAATATTAATTGTCTGTGGAGGATTCTATTGGATAAGCTTGAAGCAACGTCGCTAACAGGTTTCAAAAACTTAATAACCTAGGGAATTTAATCACGTTATCACATCTCTTTACCCATCTATGAGAATCTTTTCAATCAAGTACTCAAGCTTTCTAGAGCCTTTGCTTATTAGAGGATCATCCTGCATAGTCAAGGTCATGAACCACACTAATCGAATTGGAATTGTTCCAAAAAGGCAAAATGAACATTCCTCCAAAAGCCCTGAAAATTGAGAGAAAAAAGTGCTTTTGGTTGCTTATATAGTATTTTAACAAATAATCTGTATATGGAAAAGTCGAATGCAGAAACGAGCGACACCTTCGGGTTTCTGTAGTGGAGAGCTTGCTGAATGAATGTTGAAACATCTACAATCGGAGGATAGCGCATTAGGTACTGCAAGCAACCACCATAGTCCGATTGCAGGACTGAAATCCAAGAAAGGAAAATTCAAAAAATAAAGGAGTGCAACGGATTCATCGCCCAAAGGTAAGCGGCTTACTGAATGAGAAATTGTTACTAAACAACATAAAACTAACGCAGATGCCGAATTTGCACCAACATCGCCAGAAAAACGCATTCGACCATCCTCGCTACTGGTCTGTCACACACTAACACATCCCATACGTACAGAAGGTCATGAATTGCAAACTCTCGACCGAAGAGTAATCGAAGCCAACGACTGCAAAAGAGGAACTTTCCTGATAGGCATCCGAAAAAGTAATACAAGAATAGGATCGATGACGCAAAACAAGGGGATACTTACATCCCATATAGCTGCGGTGGAATGTCGAGGGAGTTCAAATGCTCAGCAAGCTCCGGATCAACACATTGGAGACGTTCGCCAATGGCTACCAATTCACGCATAACTTGGTTTGTAGGGGCAGCGTCTTGAACCCTGAAAAGCATAACTATCTTGAACACTGACACTCTAACAAACTCAAAACTTAAGAGCAAAAATTGCAGATTAAGTTAAGATTAAAAAAATTGATAGGTTTAGCAAAGGAGGGTATTTAAAAAGTAACACAACCGCATGAAAGGTCCAGACTCATTGAACGGTTTCGGTGTTGTTGCCGGTTGAGAGCCGTCTTCATACCACTTTGTTACTTCGAGCATCATTTCACAAAACATCCCGCTGCAAGACCATGTATACAGATTTAATTACTGTATGTATACTGCAGAAAAATAGTAGGGCTATCTATAAAACATACTAGCTGTCACTCTCGAGATATTTCGGATCATATACGTGAGAAAGGATAGAGCGATCCTCTTCCGACAGCGTCCTAAAATCATCTCTTTCGATTGAGCTCCCTAACCATTCCAGGAAACTCCTTACAGGAGCATTCTTCTACGTACATTCATAAGAAAATAAGAAAAGTTGCCGTAGCGAACACAGAAAAAAAACCAGCAGGACTTCCTGATGTGTAGCAAGTTCAAGCTTCTCACGGACTGTAATAATTAACACCAATGGTAAAGAAAACACAGGATTATACGGACACAGCATTTTCAACCGCATTTGGGCTCTAGGCGATTTTCACACGCAACCTTACAGACTTTTCAAAAAGCAGTAACTCTGGCTTGGTATACCGAGAAAGAGATCACCCTAACAGACAAGGTTTGGTTTCAAGCAAAGCTGAAACCGTCTTCCTGTCTGAGTGAGTTCATTTGGATGTAGAATCGCACGAAAAATATTATAGTTCTGTACAACTCATGAGCAACTTTAGCTGTTCAGCTAACTCACGTGAGGCCACCAGTTTCCAAGCAGTGACAAAACGACTGTTGGTCAGAGAACAGGACAAATATCAGAGGAGCGAGGATCTCATGCATTCCCTTAAAAAACACTTTCGTCCAGTCGGTACCGATATAAACACAGGATACACAAGCCCACCTGTTTATACGACACGAAAGGATTCTCTTTCGCATAAATCAGAAGAATGTCACACATCATCCGACGGATATGATCTTGTTGGAAAAATTCGAGTTCAGGAAAGCTGAAATCTTTCCCTCAATTCGATTTTTCGAGGTGCATAGTCTACTGGGTAACTTACGTTCTTCCAACATCTTTCATAATCAGATCACGAAGGTCGTGGTCGGCAAAGTACTGCTGCCATGGATTCTATAAGATAGTTATGTAGCGGATATCAATTAGAAAAAGTCCTTACGGCTAAAAAGGGCTTTGTAAATTGCGCACAACACTTTAATACTCATCTTACCCATCAACTTACATCTTATGCTCGGATCTTACACTTCACTTACATGGTCCGTCTGATCAAGAGGATTGTTGATTTGAGGATCCTGACAGAATCGGTCGTCATGTGGATTCGGTATGTCCTTTTGTTTAAGTGACGCGTATAAGTTCCTATTACGGGTAGTAACCGTAACCCACTCCGCTTTAGATAAGGGCAAGCACTTCAAATGAATCTGGAAAGAGATGGTTAATTTTCCAGTAAAAATGAACCATAGAGAGAAGACATGAAAAGTGATATTCCCGTCTCTTTTCCAATGGTGATCTGATACAAGAAAGGTAGCCTAGGTCGGCCTGTGCCACTAACTGCCATCCAATTTTCTGAAACAGCTTCCTCTTTCACAGTTGCTCCCTAGACTCTTGTCTTAAATGTCAACAGAGCCAAACAAGGAATAATAAGAACGTTCCCATTAACACACAGATGAGAAACCAATTAAAAAAAACCCTTCAAAGAAAGCAGGATTTCCTATGAGCATCTGTAATGCTGGTAACATTGCAAGCCCGTAGGCTGGGACCAAGAAGCTCCCGACCAATGAATTGAGTTGGGTGCGCTTCCAATAACGGATGGCTATTATGTTACTAGCCTGCAGTGTAACAAAACGTTCCTTCAAATAAGCGATAGATATATATCACGCTTTTAGTCACGCACCCTCCAGGCAATTGATCGAAGAGTGGATGTGCGTAAACCACCTCTCAGGCAAAAATTCTTCAAAATATCGAGTGTGAGCTGATCGCTAAGAATGGAAGCATACTCATTCCTGAAATGCTTTTCATACTGAAAACTCACCCCAATCAAAACTACTCAATCACAAACTAACCCGCCAGCTTCTCGCCTCGGTGATGCCTCCATATCCACAGAAAACAGAACAGAAAACTCTGTTGTCACAAATGTCTAGCAGTAGAGTATATAACACAATGAAAGGCACATAAAACTTGATGCGTGGAGCATGAAGTACAGCTGAAACTTGATGGTACTACATGGGAAAGAGACTTAGCATCAAAAAGGAAAGACAAATAAAAAGAACAAGTTGGTCTGGGTAATAGCAAAAACAGGCCTCCAGAATAAAACCAGTTTCTTATTGTCCACAAAAAGACGCGGCATTCAATCACCAACAATGACAAGAAAAATTAGAGCACAAAGAGAATAGACACCGATGCATGGAAAAGGAAATGCCAAAGTTTGATTCGTTTCTTGGATCTTCAAGCTAAGAAAATAGAAGGTGAAAGTTTCTCACATAACATTACCAACCGGTGAAAACCTTTCACTCTATTTTAATCTTGCCAGGACCACTTTTATTCGCTTCTTCATTTCACGCTTCAGGTAGCGTTTCGAACCATTTAAAGCGAAATCAGCATTTCGGAAATTCCCGCCCAAACAATACTCCTTTTTGACTCCCATGTTCCAAATGGAATCACTCAAGTTCGAATCGAATAGAAAATGCATATAAATCGAATTATCTGTTGCACCATGCAGACGCGATTGAAATAGCTTGTCACACCCTCTTACAAAAGCTTGATTCGTTGGTCGTATTCAGTTGCTCTCAGACGAATTTCACAAGAGTTTACAGTAAAGTTTGCTAATTTGTACCCACAACGCAAATAATGGGGACTGAAAAACTGTCTTTGATACTCCCTTAAAAGTTTCGGGAAACACTAGAGACACACAGGAGTAATAGATGTTTTCGGCCAGCACCCCCTTAGACACCTTAGACATACGAATTGCTCCATTTTTCTCTGGAGGACTATCAGCTGGCGTGAATATCAAGAGTTTTACTCACGAGTACTGGTTCTATGAGAAACTACGTGTCTCTGGCTTTGCACGCTCTAAACGAGAGCCACGAACAGAAAGAGGAATGAGTTAGGGTTTTCATATGCGACAGGTCATCCCTGAATCACTTTAACTATTGTATCAATTTAGAGCAAGCCGTGGAGGAGAAACTACCTTACTCCCAAACCTTTACACTGCTATAAGAGTCACGGAATGCTCGGCAAATTGTAATGTAGGAAGAATAATTTTCATTATGAGTCTAGAATTTCCGTATTAGGTTGGCAACTTGAAATTGCGTATATTCTAGGAGAACGTGACTACCCTTCCCAAAAAGGAAAATTCTATGCAGTTAATTAGAAGCTATAAAATATAAAGTATCTGGTCTGTGAATAAATCGGTACGAAAAGAGGCAGTTACACTTTAGATGTTCGAAAAACCTAGAAAAAAAATTGCATTCACTCGGTCGTAAACATTATACGCTGTGTGAAAACCTTTTTCCACAAAATCTTCCACACAAGAGGGGTAACGTGGTATTAGGAAACCCCCTTCCCCTTGCCCCGTGCTGTGACAGATTTGTAGCTTCGAATCAATTAGTGTGCAACCTTCCACGTTGGAAATTTGAAGTTCCAGAGTCAGGTCACAAGAGTGGTAGTCTCGAAAAGACAGCAGTGTCTAAATGAGTGGCCCTAGCACTAGTTCATTAACTTTAATTTATGCATTGCTACGACTCTCCAATGAAATCAATGAAGAATACAGATTGCATTCAAAGAAAAAACTGGAACTCATGAGAGATTTTCAAACAACTTTCCTACGCGGCACAGGGACGTGTTTCAGCTGTCCAGCCGCGACCGATGCACCGTACCGTGGAAATGGCTTCCAAACGGGACATCTTACAGAACGTTAGCTGAGTATCAAATCTTTATCATGGACCGAATCGCAGTCAAACTACCTGTCGCTAGTTCTTTTTGATTTACAGCTAAAGCTTCTAATAATTCTGTTTAGAGGCTCACTTTGTAATTTGATGCTCATTTTCTGGGTCGCAAGTGGTCAAGCTTTCCTCGATTCGTTTCATGCCTCCTCTTTGTGGTGGTTTGTGAACTTCCCGAAAATTGTATGCCTTGCTACCCTGTTTTGTTAGCTTTGAAGACTTGTTTTAGCAAACATACTCTTTTCATGAGATAATTTTGTGGTAAATTGGGTTCTATTTGGATGCAGCTTTAGTTTTTAAGACTAAATAACACTTTTTTGTGCGTCTGAGAGCTTTGGCCTGTTCTCCCCTTCGTGACAACCTTTCTCTGATTGCCTTTTGTCATTGAAATTCCCATGCTTGTTGTTTTCGGTAAACATGTCGGGCGGTTTTGAGCCGTTCGCCCTTTCTGAAGACGATGTGCTGAAGCTTATTGCTACTCAAGCCCACATCGGTTCCGCTAATGTGGACTTCCAGATGGAGCAGTATGTTTACAGGCGTCGTTTTGATGGTTAGTGTCTATGATTGGTTGTTCTTACCAGTCGTCCTGTCTCTTTTAATGGCCAATTTTTGAGGAACATATATAATTAATCTGAAGAAAACTTGGGAGAAGCTCCTCTTCGCCGCTCGTGCTATCGCTGCTGTTGAAAACCCCGCTGATGTCGTCGTTGTGTCGGCTCGGCCATACGCCCAGAGAGCTCTACTCAAGTTCGCTGCCCACACTGGTGCTACTGCGATCTTCGGCCGATTCAGTCCTGGATGCCTTACCAATCAGATCCAGAAATCCTTCAAGGAACCAAGACTTCTGGTTATTTCTGATCCTCGTGTGGATCATCAGGTATGGATTCTATGTAGCTATGTTCTTCTTCACTTCCTTGTTAACTAGTTGGATGAAATATACGGGTAGAAGTGCTCCTATTAATTGTTCAGTTATTGCGGCTATTTGAATATCTGCCTTTTTTGCATATCTGCGAGATGATTTATTCCTTTCATGGCAATGCTGAAGTTATTGAGGAGAGGGAGACAGGGTACACTGCTTCCTTTTTCTTTCATTTTCTAATCTCACTGTTTTGTATTCCTGCTTTATTAAGTTCGTGTCATGCCCCTAAAACGTCCCCACCGGTTTTGCTTCTATTTTCCCTGCTTTGCTTCTGTTTTCCTTGCTAAACAAGGAATGTTCATTTAAAATATCTGAAAGTTCAGGTGGCGCTTTTTTTCTTGTTCCGCGATCATTAATTGTAAATCTGTGCGTCCATGTCAAGCTTGTGCTTTAGCGGATTGTACTCCTGGTAATGTGTTCCCACGTATGATATGTTCTTTCACAGATTTTTGCTGTCTCCCCAAACCTCTGCTGCTGCTATGATATTTTTCGTGGTCGGGAAGATTAACTTTCGATTTTGAAAATTTACCTTTCGTCCACGATAGCGTCAGTGGCAGGTGGGGCACTGAATCCCCGCGGTGTGTCTCCTTATTACAAATGCTTTTAGTGTAAACTTTTTCACAGAAATATTTTCAGCCATTTGAGTTCTTACTCCTTCTAAGCTTGGACTGATATTAATAATGTTTCGACCCTGTTTTATGTAATTATGTTTCTACCCTCCCATTGCTAAGTAACAGTGGCTGCCCTGTTCATTCCCATGGATATCTATCTACCTTTATACATTTCCAAAAAGTTTTTGCCAACCCCTAACGAGTTACCGGGTAACAAAAGTGTTATGGTCCGTGTTCTTCTATGATCGGTAGTACTGCTTCTTTTTCGTGGTTTTCCGTGAGAACAAGGTAATTACAAGGAGTTTTCAGGGCTCCTAGAGGCGATAATCAGGGTGGTAATAGTTTGTTATAATAGTACGGGAAAAGTTTGAACTTTGTTACATCATTTTCTTTATGGCGCACATATTCGATTGCTTGGTTTTGCTGGATAAGAGAAGTTCTCGGGAGGCATCAAATTGGAGCTTTTTCCATCATTCAGTGGTGTAGGGATCTCACCAGTGGGGCTACAAGCTGAAAGAGACGAGTTTTTGACCATTGCCACGTATGATTTGGAAGAGCGTCATATTTGCTCGCAGAATATTACTAATGTGATCATTTTGTTAGCATGAATCGGTGTAGTGGGCTAAATGTACAACTTTGAGTGTGCTGGTGTAATGTGACCATAGTTATGCTCATTATAAAGATTCCGCTGGAGAGGGTCGTCTCCGCTTTCTCGAGAAGAGAACATCCTATGAAAATTTTGAAAATCCGCGTTATGCTTCGATAAATTGTACGAAGTTTTACATCTTTCTACCTCACCTGTAACAAATGGACTGCTGTTCCAGCGACCCCTTGAATACGTTAATGAAGCTCTCCGAACTCAGTATAAGTAAAAGAATCAATATATTACCTGTTTTCTATGTATGACAGTGCAACCGGGTGAAACCTCATAAATGTTATTTTTCCGAATTACTCAGAAATGCATGGTGTTTTAGAGTAATATACCTTTCGAGCTTTTCTGTATCGTGTATCGACACACGAGTGCTCATAGAGGTGCTTACTGAGTCGAGCACAAAATCGGACAATTGTAATTTGAGTGTTGACAGCACAATCAAAGCAGCGGTGATCAATAAGTCGAAATCGTGAGGCTACGGTCATCATTTTTCGGAGGGGTTCAATTGGGTGTGGAAGTTGAGATGTAAACAGTCTTCTAGTTCTGTTCTAGCTCATTCATTGAGTTGGCTTCGGATGGAATGAACGTAGACTTGTGTTTTTACTACTTCCTCAAAAGTAGCAAGTGAAGAGTGTTGTTTTCTGGCATTCAAGATCATTGCTTAAGGTTGTCACTGAAGCCTCATACGTCAATGTACCCGTCATTTCTTTCTGCAACACAGAATCGCCATTGAAGCTGATCGATATCGCTATTCCGTGCAATAACAAGGTAACTATTTATCTGCATACAAACAGTTTTTTTTAAGATAACAATTTTGGGGTTTCTTCAGGGAGAGCAATCTATCGGACTTATGTGGTGGCTGTTGGCTCGCGAAATCCTAATTCTTCGTGGGAAGATTTCACGTCAGACCGGATTTGTCCTTGATGATAAGGAGATCATGCCTGATCTCTACTTCTACCGCGATCCTCAGGAGTCCGAGAAACAGGAAGCAGCTGAGATCATGCCGGAAGTTAAGCCCGACTACGAAGTACCAAGCGAGGCCGTCGATTTCACTGCTCAACCAGAAATCAAGGATTGGGCTTCGGAAACAGCTACGTGGAATCCAGGAAGCAAGCCAGGAGACGCCGCTGGTGAGTGGGGAGCTGGCGCACCGACGACTACGTGGTGATTGACGCGTTGTTCACATCATTGTGGTCTATTATCTGTTTGTTGTTGTTTGCAACATAAAGTGTTATTTGCTGTTTTACGCACACAAACTTTGTTCATGGAGTAGTGTCTCACAATTCCCTTATAAATATTATACGTGAGCATATGAAGCTATAACAGCAGCATCCTAGGTGCATCTGCCATGACTTCGAAGTATGAATCGCAGGTATGTTCTTACGTACAATGGTTGTCTGATATTCGGCATGGTAAAGCAATAAGCTCCGCTTTATGTCAAAAGCCATTACTTTTGCATTTGGTTCTTAGGTCGTAGTTGTTCTCTCGAATTTGGATTGTACCTGTTTTTGAATAATGCATGCAATTAGTGGCTCCTACATTGCTTTTATCTTACTCGGGTCACCTACAACTTTAATGAATTAACCGTTCGTCAATTCCCAGACAACTATCAGCTTCTCGTCCGCTGCTCTGCTGAAGTAGAAATGCGTTATTGATCGCTGCTTATCAATTCTAGATAAGCTTATTTTTGTGATTCACTCGAGAAGCTCGGATCCTCTCGGTTAGCCGAAGTCAGATGTAAAGAGAAATAGTTGATAGATGGAGCCTTGGACCAAACACTGGGTTGTATCTGTGTGTACTCTTTTTGCCGCCTGAATATTATTTGATACTCGGTAAGTATTGCTGAGAACACTAGGGAAGGTATGCATCGAATTTTACCGGATTTCTCAACTAGAAGCGTATCACTTCTGCTCTCAGTCCACTACTACTGTTACTACTGTCTACTGCCCACTTAGCACTCCTTGACTTACTACGTGGTAGGTATGTCATGGGAGATTTAATGCCTACTAGTCGACCTCCTAAAAAATTCTTAAATGGTTCGCTTCAGAACTTGTTGAGACTCATTGACCCGTACTTCCACCTAGGGAGTGAAGGGTTTTCCGAAACAGCCTCATCACAGTCGTTTACTGTATATTTGATATCTGACACACATATGAGAATTATTGTGCTTGGTCATCGATAAGTTGACTATCTAGTTCTCTTAGAAAACCCTTCACACGGCGTATCTGCTCAGCTGTTCGGCAGGACAAGAAGTTAGTCTCAAGTTTTTATCGCAGTCCCTGTTGCTCCATAATATCCTGCTGGAACTGATGACATGTAATTTTAACGACTGGTTATGTGGGCACGGTCAGAAGGATGCAGACCTGCGTTTGGACTGTGAATGAGGAGAGAGGAGAGTGCTGTAATAGTTGCTTCTGAATAAATCATTCATTTTTGTAGAGTATACTTTGATTACTTCCGTTCCCACATCCTTTTTCAGCGGCATAAGGTCGAAGGACTTCTCAAGAAGTATCCACTGGATGTATTCCCGAATTGGACCATCAATAACGGAGAACGGTAATCACATCCTTATCCAGTTCGTATACATTAAGACAATGAAACTTTTGACTAAAAGGCTGAAGCTTCCATAGAAGAAGCATTTCCTGGTTTCATTTAGTAGATACCCCTTTTGCGGAGCAGTTCTACTTTGATATTGAAGATGTAGTTACAAGCGCTAGAACTCGGTTCTCTCTAGTTCACCATACTTTTGTGCTCCATTTATTGGATGGGCTATTTGGGACATTGAGCACATTTATCCTGCTTTATTGTCTGAGTAAAAATGCAAAGATAAACCCAGAGTTATATGAAAAAGAGATCAGCAGAGCAAACTTTGGAACGGTGCCAGGGACGTATAAAATAGCCTCGTTCTCAATGGCTTTAAGATTCACAATTTAAACAGTTTTTCGACTAATTCCTTCGAAGAGAAGGAGCAGTAGGAATTCATATCACCTCCCGTCTCTAGTCGCATGCCTTAAACAACAGTATACAGTAGCGCTCAAGAGTCTTCGGTCAAATGCTCTTTCGGTCGTACTTTTTAGTCGTAACCCCTTTCCCATTGCATCCATCATGCGAAATTTCAATGTGTGTATCATGGGGAAATATGCTTTAGTTAAACTTTTTTTATTTATTTGGACATGTTGAAGTCTCAACACGTAACAAAAAAAGAAATCGAACAAAACCCGAAAAGACGAAACTCTTGCAAAAACAAACAAACTGCCATAAAAGAAATCAGATAAAATCATTTACACGTTTCTTGAAGGTAGTATACTTCAACGGATAGAGATTCGAACGCAGAACAGAATTGAAACATGTGCGAGCTCTAAGACTGAAAACTGGACATGGTCTTTAAAATCCTAAGGAACTTAGTGAAGATTGCCATCAAACACGAGGGGAGCCTCTTCCAAATTATCGACTTCAAATGCTAAGACTGCATTGGGTTTTAGCATTTGAAGTCGATAATTTGGAAGAGGCTCCCCTCGTGTTTGATGGCAACACAG